CCGAGACGAAGTCGAGGGGAATATTCCCCGATAATCACCTAGCCTGAGGCGAATAATTATTTTAGTATTTTTGCACAAGTTTTTTTGTGTTTTTCTGGTCTGAATTCATTTTGAAAATTTCGATTTTGTTATATTCACCTGTAGGTTAATATTAATAACTTACTGACCGAGAGTGAGGGCAGTACGGGAAAACATCCAACCGAGGTCTTGCTGTATTGACCGACGATAGCGAGGTCAATACAGCAAGACCGAGGTTGGATATTTTCCCGTACTGCCCGAACGGTTGAGGTCAGTAAGTTTTTATTATATGGCATTGTACGTTTGTAAAAAATGGGGAAAAAAAGTCACGCGAGGGCAAAGTACAAAGTCCGAAACATTTGCAAAAAAGAACAATTGTAAAAAATGTTCTCAAGCTTGGTTAGTAAAACTACTCTACAGCACTTTTTATATAGAATACTAACACAGTTGGATAGTATTTCAAGAAAAATACGAGGTATTTCGTCATTTAATCAAAGACAAAGACAACAAATATGAAAACAATAAAATTAATAAACAGTATGGACAAGTACGTTTTTAGTTCGCTTCATCTCATAAATATATCTCTTTTTATCGAAAAAACCCAGAAATTTTTAGGGAAAAATATAAATCTGTGGCTGCTTTAGTTGTATTTTTTATTTAGGATGGTGTCAAATTCCTCGGCTATCTGCAAATAAGATTTGCAGCTCTTCACAAAGTCAAAACACAGCTATTCCTGACTTCTTTAATAGTTATAAACATTGTAAAATTTACCTTGTAATTTCGACTTTCGCTAACAAAAACATATTGAGAAAGTTCTTTAACCAAAGAAGGTGCTCCTTTTCTTTAGTTTAGGTTTATTTTTCTTCGTTTTAAATAGTTTTGAAAGACTTTTAGACACTTTTTGCCGTTTGAAACTCGGCTCTTGTCGCGGGGCAAAAAAATTGCGTATTGCCCGTGAGCAATACGGGGAAATCCTGCCTCGTCAGCAGCCAATCAAATTGCGCGATTCATCAAAACAAACGCTTGCCATTTAATAAAACAGATTAATACGTCAAATTTGACCAATCACCTTGTAGGATTAAGGATTTCTTATGTTCACTTGTACAAAAATAGTAAATATATTTATTACGGGATGGCCCCAAAAAAGTACTCCTCTTTGATTCAGTACAACTTATATAAAAAGTAAATTAAAGAGCTTTTACACTTAAACAAGATGCATTGTATATTCACTAATGTCTAACTTAATTAAATATTGAATACTGAATCAAAGAGATACTCGTGTATATTAATTAATATGTGGCATATGTGATTATACCAGGCCACCCGGTATAATCATAGGATATTAATATACACGAGTATGTTTATGACATTCGGTATATCATGTTTCGGTCGCTACTCTTGTTTAAATAAATTATTATTATACAAAGCCCCAAGCCCGGCTAAATTGCAGAATACCCGTCCACTTTGAAGGTATCCCTTGTTAACATGATACGATGATACGAAGTGAGAATCATTACGTAATAACTATATGACCGCGCTATTATAAAAGCCTGGGTAACCTATATTGTTGCGTGATACGATGATACGAAGTGAAATAGCATGTATACAATATATGTGTGTGCCTCGTTCTTTGAAAGACATGTATATCCCTTTGTCTCGTTCTTTGAAAACCTTACCCGTGGGCCATGTCTAATTATTTACAAATATATTTAATTAGATTTATATGCGTATTTTTGGTTGTCACCCAAAAATATAACTTACACTTGCTTTTATAATAGAGCGGTTATATACCTATTACGTAATCATTTTCACTTCGTATCATCGTATCAACGTATCAGCCAAAAATATAGCTTAAGCAGGCTTTTATAATAGCGCAGTTATATAGTTATTACCGGTAATCATTTTCACTTCGTATCATCGTATCATCGCCTCAGCCAAAAATATAGTTTACCCAGATTTTTATAATAGCGCAGTTATATAGTTATTACGCAATCCAAAAATAGTTTACCCAGACTTTTATAATAGCGCAGTTATATAAGGTGGACTTCAATTATCTGGTTTCTTGCACTTCACTTGGTGCTAGTAATATTTGAATGCTGTTCTTAGGGTTTGTAATCCAAGTGAGTATATATATACATTTTAAGACCTGACCAGGAACGACTGCGAAAAATGCAGCACAAGGTCCTCTGGTAGGAAGCTCAGTTGGTTAGAGCGCTGCACCGGAATCGCAGGGCCGTAGGTTCATTTCCTACCAGAGGACTTTGTGCTGCATTTTTCGCAGTCGTTCCTGGTCAGGTCTTAAAATGTATATACTCACTTGGATTACAAACCCTAAGAACAGCATTCAGTTATATAAGGCCTACTCTGGGGCGGTAAATCGCCTTAAATCGCCCTAAATCGCCTAAAATCGCATTAAATCGCGGGTTAAAATTGTCGAATTTCTCTTAAATCGCCTAAGATCGCTTAAAATCACCAACATGCATTCTGCTTGATAATAATAATAATAACTTCTTTATTTAAACTGGTAAAAACCGATAAACTAACAAAATATCAGCTGGTATAAACCGATGACCAGCATTAATATATAAATAGTTTACATCCATACAGTCCATGTACTCAAGCTTGTCACTTGCTGCTATTTTACAGGCAAATCATTTAATCCAGGTGCTTTGCAATCAAAAGTAATGCAACATGAATTAGCAATCAAATAAGTGGATTAGGCTGACAATATTTAGTCACCCAATAGGCACCGGTCATTGACAAAAACAGAACCTTTTTCTGCTTTATGCAGACTTTACAATAATTAGGTAATTCTGGGATCTAAAAGACCCATAGATCCCATACACTACCAGCAACAAAATTGAGCTAGTTACCAGAATGAGCTAATTTCATTATTGGTGCAAATGGAGAATGGCTACAATTTATATGCTAAAACTGTCTGTACCAGTGTAGGTAGTACCAATGTGAAAATGCTGTGCTGAGTAGTTATATTACTACCTTAAAAAATAAGCAGAAACTCGACGTTTCGAGCGAAGACCCTTCGTCAAGAGTTAGTAGTGGTCCAATTTATATGGACTATGGAGGCTGGGCTACAAATTAATCTATAATCTACATGGCTTCTCAAAGCCTAATTGCTGTTAATTAGAACAACAGTAGGAGACTACGAAAGTCAATGAGTACGAGTGTTGATTTATATAATAAAGTCATCCTGTAATTTGTGCACTGTTGCATGTAAGATCGAGCACTGCATTGTATACAATGGTTGTACTTCAATCGACATGTGCGTGGTTATACTCTAGCTCCTAGTTATAATTATAGTGGCTATCAAACGAAAAATATACGTGAGGTTATGAGCGATTTGCAACTCTCGTCTATTAAATTTACCAGACCTGTATATACAATAAACAGTAAAACAATGATTACTTCTTACATACCAAACAATAGATATTTTGTTGTTGTTTGTTTGCAGAACCTAAAACCACGATGTAGTGCGCCATTTGTTTTATAACACTGTATTATTATTTTTTTTAAATTTTAACTAGTAATTTAGAATTCCTACAATTTATATACGATATACTTCATGTAATTTAAACATTACGGCATTACGCCGACAGTTTCCGAATGCTTTATAAATATGTTTGTAGCATGAAGAAAGCATGAGATTGAAACAGTTTAATTAAATAAAATGCAAGCTAAATAAAGAAGTTTTGACATGATACAAAACAAGACAATTTTACTTACAAGGGTGACAAGGTAATTTATAGGATTATAGCTTATTTTGGAAATCAAATATTTATTATATTTTGTAATTTTAACTCGACATAAAATAATAATATTAAAGTTTAAGACATGTGTAGTGCATGCCCCTTAAGTAGAGTATATGAACTGTTTGCAATATTTGTGGTATATAATGTAGCCATGAATGACCACATGACCCCACAAGATGAACCCCAAATGTCTTCTAAATAGAGAATGGGTGAAAAGTTCATGAATATTGAGCTTTATATGCATGTGAATGAGGTTAAATACAATAATTAGTTAACCTAGCTTTATATAAAATGTACATACATGTTCTAATAATTGTAGTTTGCTTCATACAATGCATATATGTGTGTGGAAACATTACATTATTATTCAGCTCACTCCCCACATTGGGGCTTTTCAGTGACCGATTACATCAAGTACTATGATTACTTATGTTAGCCTAGATTATTTATCTTTACAACAACGAGGGTATGATATTACTTTCCTAACTGTGTTTCTCCTAACCCACCCTGCCAATTTTGCCCTGTGGGAGGAAACCGGAGCAAAATATAAAATTGAATTCCTTTGAAAACACCCAAATTGCAATCCCTAAAATTAAATTTTTTTCTTATATCGCCCTAAATCGCCTAAAATCGCAGTGCTTGAAAGTCCCAGTTTTTCCTTAAATAGGCTAAAATCGCCCAAAATCGCATTATATCGCTGCGATTTACCGCCCCAGAGTAGGTAGCCTAGTTATCATGATAACAGGTGAGGTCTTCAAAAGTGGACGGATATTCTGCAATCGCTCCCAAAGCCCAGTCGAATTGTAATCAAGACCCATCAGCTGTGATCTAAAATTGCAATCGTGGCTTCTTATGGTGCACGCGTAGGCCAACGCCAGATCTTCAAAACTTGGATATTTTCCCAATTTGTTAGTTCAAACACGATTATTTTGCAAGATTTCACATTAATTTTTTATGGAAATTGGCATCCAAAGTATATCCTGAGAGGAACAGATTTCTCGAGCTAAATATATTGTTTTATCCCCCCCGGATGGTATCGCTAATCCGCAACTTAGTAGTTCATACAGCCATGCCCCACGATGGCTGGATGATTTTACCGCCCACACATCCCCGACTCTATTTGGTCTGATTCTATGATCTGATATACAAATGATTGTAGATATAATATGAAGGCATAATGGTAGATCGCGTATTTATTCAATTTATTTTCTCTAGATTGGCATCACTCCAGAATTGAAGAACAAACAAAATTCAAGCAGCAAGAAATGGCAATAAATAACACAACATCCAACTACATTAAAGAGTGTTCAATAGCCGGCTACACACATGTCGTTATTGTGGAATTTCCTTCAAGTGAATATGTCGTTAACCAAGTTTTAACATCTGTGGCAATGTGCATACTAATGATTCCTGTAATACTTTTGAACGGTATTACAGTTCTTACAATCTGGAAAAGTCAACACATGAGAGCGAAGGTTTGCCACTTTCCCGTATTTATCCAGTCAATGGCTGACTTGTCTGTTGGATTGCTAACTCTCCCATTGTTTAGCTACCTTCACCTCCGAGAAGTTTTTGGTTCGCCAGACTGTGTGTTAAGTTTTGTCTTTTCTACAATAGCATTCATACCGTGGGGATTATCCTTAGCAGCTTTATGCGCGTTGACTTTTGAAAGATACATGGGTGTTTTGCATCCAATTGCACATCGCAACTATGTTACAAAAAATATGTTTTTGTTATACATTTGTTGTGTCGTATTGGTAACATTCATAATTGTCCCCTTGGCTGTGGTTTCTGCAACATTCTACTACATTTTTTGCGCCATCTACGCAATTATTCCTATATGTTGCTACATACGTATTGCTACTCACGGATTTTGCATTCAGCAAGGAAAAGACTACTACGACCCAACTGCAGCACAACTTGCGAAGAAAACGTGTCAAAATCACGTGTTGGAAAACGATATTCCGAGAAGGAATTAAAGCTTGCCAAGTCTTGTGCATTGGTTGTAGTTACATTCTATATTTTTTGTATTCCAGGCGAGTTCCTCAACATTTATTACCTCGAAAAGGACATAATATTCTATAGAGTTGTAATTGCTTGGTATGCCACAGCCCTTGGAGTAAATACAATACTTAACTCCGTTATCTTCTTCTGGACAAGACCAATTTTGAGGAAAGAAGCATTTAAAGTTCTAAAAGGAATCCGTGGTAATTGAATGTCGAATAGACATCTTCGTTTGCATCAACATTCAATTGCATGATGGCATAAAGTGTCAGTAACTGCTTGTGACCTGCATATTACATGGTTTGGAGTTTATTATTAAATGACAAAGAACGGTTTTAATATGATGCAAGAACAATGGCGCTGGATTGAAACTATACATTCAACTCAATTTGTCATTTATCTTCAAATTTAATGAGTAAAATTTAGTCTTTAGAGTACCATATATGAACGGAGGAATGCAATCACCATCAGCTTAACTTTTAATGTTGGCCTTCTAGACTGTTCTCCAATAGATAATCAAAAAATTAAATAGAAGAATGATGATTAAAAAAAAGTTATCATAAATATGGTGTAAGAGTAATATTAATTACGAATATTGCATTGCATAAAGCAATATAACTTCCGTGCTCTGAATACAAAAAATAGGTATGCTACAGTGCAGGGCGTCTGTTGATCTTTTGAAGACAGAATGAACAAACTATAGCATATATTTGAATGCAGGTAAAATACATGTATATAAAAGTGAGCGTTATATTAGAATAAAGGTAGGTTATTACAAATCACAGAACGTTATACAACTATGAGTTCCTGTAAACTTTTACTAAATTAAAGAGAGAGCTATTGGATGTCAGTTCCAGTCCCTTTTCTATTGGTTTTGCCTGTGCGGATAACACAAAGCTGCAACAACAACAACAATAACAACAACAACTTACAGCGAAAACAACAACATTTAAGGGCAAAAACAAAACAAAAACATTACAGGAGTTCCTGAAAACTTTTACTAAATTAAAGAGAGAGCTACTGGAAGTCATTTCCAGTCCCTTTTCTATTAGTTTTGCCTTTGCGGAAAACACAAAGATGCAACAATAACAATAACAATAACAGCAACAATTTACAACGAAAACAACGACAATTTTAGGGCAAAAACAAAAAAAAATTACAAAAATTTGACGGTTGTTCGCAGGTAGCAAAAGCTATTCGACGCAGAAACTTGAAGACTACGAATTTTAGATCAAAATTACATAAGTTTTATAGTAATTATTATATGCAATAATAATAATTTATCTTTAGTTAGCTGAATTTATCCTTAATTGTTAAATTTTTAATTTTTTTGAACGTTGGATATCAACATCATCCTCCTCATTTGGAAATATAGAAACTAATACTTAATAATACTTAGTACTAATACTTAATACTAATACTTAATACGTAATGTTTTCTAATACTTAATACTTAATACGGGATGTTTTCTTAAATTTATTCTTTGCATTTGGAAAATCAGTATTATGAGTCACATGGAATATTTGATCTGTTGCAGTCCTTGCATGGGGAAGCCATAAACCAGCCGCTCTAGATTAACACAATAAAGGTATACGTTAGATGAGTGTTCCAACTATGTTAGTTAACTTATAAAACAAAATACATGATAGTATTTGGAAAGCATTAGGAACAGCTATATAACCAAGGATGCGTGACTGGTAACTCTTACGCACTCTTACCCTCGTTTCTCCGGGCTGAAATTATGTCCGTCGGACATGTCACGGCGTACAGTTGTTTAAGCCATTGGAGTTCACAAATTTGGACTCGCTGTATTTGGAGTATGTGCACATTTAAATTATTCCAAAATTGAATTACATTTAAATATGCCTTCAATCGACGTCCGGTGTACAAAAAGTTACCCCTTCAGATTGCTTTATATTCTCCAGAACACCGGAAAATGTTTGGATGCGTGCATGCATTAGGATGTTTATCTCGTTCGGTAGACCTATATGAATCAATCTGTCCCGGATTTAACGGTCTGAAATGAAACGCGTGAATACAGAATTGCACGAGCGCGTAGCGGCAGTGCAACGTATATAGACACAAGTTTGATTTCACTGTATGACAGCGTGTAAAAAATTAGAGAAAGATTGTTTATAAAACTGGCTTAGATACGCCTCCCACAATCTTTCCAAGATCAGACAAGTAGCATATCATAAATAAAATAAATGACTGCGTACATGCATATATAAATCTCGCATCCTAACTAAAGGCTGCATTCCAGTTACGCGTTTTTCATACGTGCCCACACGCACGTAAAAGTTGAATTCGCTTTACATCCTACTTACGAAATAACTAGATTTATAAAAGGACAGCATTCACTTTTGTGTACGATTTAATGTGTATTTGTTAAAGGACATTGGCAACCAAAATTTTTATTACTTATATCTATTAGGTATACTTACGAAATATTTAATTTCATATTTTGGCCGGTTTGTCGCGTTTAGTTGCTGAGAAAATTTGATTGAATTTGAGAAAATTTGAACAGTTATCCGCCATTTTGAAAATAAGCGCGTATGCTAATTTATGCCACAAAAGACATTATCTGACGTCATTGGCTGGGTAAACACAATCTCATGACTATAAACAATACCGTGTATTACCACGCGTAATGCATTTTGAGCCAAAACAAAAGGCAGAAAAGTTTTGCCAAGTATGTAACTTGTTTGTAACACTATTTCTCATAGTATATATCCTACTCCGTGTTAAATAAGCGCAGAAATTCGAGTGTAACAAGGCAAATACTAATGCAATATTTTATGATGAATTACCTGCATTGTAAATTGCGCCATTTCTTGCTTTCCCAGTCGCTCGATATGTTTTTATCTGATAGTGTAGACTTCTCTTGTTTGATTGCAAAGAGTGTTGGCCAGTATAACGCTCAAAACGACATATTTTTAGGCTTTTAGCTAACATAACACGCACGCAATAGAATTCTCTCTTGTAGTTTTGGTGCTACCCAGCCAATGACGTCACAAAGTTCATTGACCTTCGAGATAATTTTTCAAAAATATTTTCCAAGATGGCGGCGAAACTGGCCGAAACACAAAGTTTGCATGCATTTTACTCGTTGACTAAAAGGTTCAAGAAGGAAATGATAATATTTTCATAGTTCGGTTGTCAAGTAGGATTGAAATAGCCAATAAAAATTTTCGTTGCCAATGTTATTTGCACTTATATGAAATTTTAAGCGAATTCAACTTTTACGTGCGTGTACGCACGTATGACGCACGTGTGAAAAACGCGTACTGGAATGCAGTCTTAATGAAGTAATCGGGACGTTGTGTCTTTAATTAATTTTTTAAGTTGAAATATAGGTAATGAGAACCATATTGGTGTCCTAGTAATAAATTTATGCCACAATAGTCCCTAGTTTTTAAGTTTAGATATAGGTAATGAGAACCATATTGGTGTCCTAGTAATACATTTATGCAACAATAGTCCCTAAATGTTAGATTAAACATGTGGTGTGAAATATGATAGTGTGATGGCCTCGTGTTGTTTGCACAATGTATGCTTGTGAAAAAATGTTGTATTTTAAGTTTAGATATAGGTAATATACAACCATATTGGTGTCCTAGTAATAAATTTATGCCACAATAGTCCCTAAATGTTAGGAAAAACTGTAGTGTGAAATATGATAGTGTGATGGCCTCGTGTTGTATGCACAATGTATGCTTGTGAAAAATTGTTGTATATGATAAACCTTGAAATAAAAAAGTAAAGTAAAAAACCACTTGTATGTGTATAAATGTGAACCTAAGAAATATAAGTGTAGGTGTAGATTTTTTGAACATAAAATAGGAGATGCGTGTGTGAAATTGTAACGGTAAAATATCCTGTGGTGTAAAAAAAATTTTGATCAGACTCGAGGAGTATGATCTCGCTGTACTAAAAAGCTTGTATGGAGGCATGTAAAATACAAAGCGAGAGAAAGAAATAGTCATGTGTGTAAAATTCAGTATCCTTGTACGCGGCGTTTCGTCCTTCATGGACTCGTCAGCAGGGATTGGGGTTGGCACATGTATAAGAAGGATAGAATATAGAAACCGATTTGGATTACAAGGTGAATAAACATAAAAATAGTAAAATGTGTGTATGATTATTGTGAAATAAATATAAAGTATAAAGTGTCTTACCAAATTTGCTGATATTTTTTGTCAAACGAACACGTTGGGCCATGATTGCAATCACGAAGGGATGTGATATAACTATAGCGTTTATATAGAGCGTCTGTATGCAGCTGTATAAATTGCGTGTTTGGTGATCATAGGCATGCAGTCAGTGAGTAAGATGAACAGTACAACATGTGGGTGTTTAGGTTGTTGTATGGATTGTAGGGGAGTTGAGGGATAATTTTGTAAATCGTGTATATACTGGGTTGTATCTGTTTACTTCATGTAATAATAGTGTTTGTGAACTTGTTATTTTATGTTGAGAGTGTTATTTAAAGTGTTGATGTGTAATGGTGTTTTGAGATATTTTTTTTAGTCTTGGGGTAAAAAATGGTTGAGCCTGGGGAGGGGGTAGTGAACTGAGATAACGGACTTGAGTGTTTGTTTTATTGTTTAGGGATCGGATGTGTGTTATATTAATAGCTGTAATGTGCAACATGCTTGTGTGGTTGGCCATTGTACTGTGCAATGCATTTACTTAGTATTACTGTTGTATTGAGTTGCGAAGATAGGTCTGTTAGTTGCTTTATTTGCATTTTCTGTTTTGTTAAGTATGTCATTTTGTGTGTATAGTAGTGCTGTGTTAAGCGATGTGATAATGTTGTCATGTTTGTGAATGAAGGCAATAAGTACGCTGTCCAGTCTTTGTTGTAGTTTCTTGCTGTTGATGGTGATGCGTATATATCGTAGTGCTTGGCTGTAGATAATAGAGTTTTTGCAGGTTTGGCGGTAGGAGGAATTTTGAATGAGCAGTAGAGTTCTGTCAGTTGTTTTGATGTATACGTCTGATTTGAGCATGGATAATAAAATAAATGGATAGGAAACTAGTTGACGTGATCTAATGTTTTCAATGGACTGATGGCGTGATTGGATGTTGAAACCTAGTTGCAAACCAAATTCTCAAAAACGGCATGTTTAGCAATAATACAGCTAAACATTTTAGTCAAAGAGCAAATGAATATAACTACGCCATTCTACAATGAAATCTCTAAGTATT